GAAAAAGAGAACTTTGCTTCTGACTCATTTTACCATTCAGGCAACCTCCCAACGCTTCCTGCCTCCTATAGAGAGTGAATACAGGAGGAATTACAGTGATTTTAATTTCATCCCTTTCAATTTAATAAACTTTTTTCCTGCTCAGTACCTGCTCTTGGACTTGAGGTGATCCACAGACAAATGAAGAATGCTACGAAGTGCTGATTGAAATACTGAAGGCGAAGAATAATGGATCTGGAAGCAAAGAATAAGGGATCTTGATGTTTCCGCTCGCTGATTTCAATTTCCTCTCTTTCTGTATTGCTCATCCTTTAAACTTAATCCAAAACGATTCAGTATCCTTTCATGTTTGTTAATAATGTCACTATCAGTATGTGTATCGAGTTTGTACTTGAGGTTGTTAACGGTGTGTTGATTGCCAAATACACCTAACTCTTTGCACAGGATGTAAGCGTAATATCTCTTACAAATGAAAGCATAATTATTAGGTGCTTTATCTACAGCTATAGTTATATAATGTTGTTGAAGCTTGCATAATTGATAGTATGGAATTATTTATGGTATAACAACTAGAAGTAAGGCACGCAAATCCTTTAAGGATATCTCTCTTATAATTATATATTGGATTGAGGGAAATAAATCGGCTAAATGCCATTTCAGAAATACTCTGCTTCGGTTCCGTACTCCTTTTATGCGGCTCCGCAGAATTCCTCTCCGCTCGCGCTAGTAAACGCCACCCAGTGCCTCCACTCGCGCCAGAAAACGACTGCTTACACAGTGCCTTTGTCTCAATACCTGGATCGCTCGGACGCATCCTTCTGTAAACGTGATTGCATTGTCGATTGGAGTTTCCCGAACATTTGCTCAGCGCGGCGCAATCTCAACACCGAGCGAAACGTCGACACCTTCTGGATGTACGCCAGCGTTTGAAAACCTCCCAGCTGCTTACCTGAAGAAAAAAGACGGGGAAACCGAAAAATGATCTGCAGAGAAAACAAAAAGGACACTGAAAGCACAAAATAGGAACAAAAGGATGAGATAGAGGGCAGTTCCGCGCCGTCCGCCGCACGCGCCGTCCACTGCGCGCTGTCCACCGCACGCCCGCCCTCTGCACGCGTCATCCACACCCAGCTCTCCCTATTCCTTCGCCCTCGTGCCCTGCCGACCTCCCTCCAATTCTTTCCAGGTCACCCTCCTCTTGCTGTTGACAACACTAACACAGCAGCTTAGAAGATTCGCGAACAATCGCGATTCTTCGCGACACTACAAAGGGCAATACGGGGATAAAGGGCCCTGTGAGGAAAAGAGGAAATGGATTATTTCTGGAATTTTGGCGGAACGATGCATAGATCTTTTGTAGTCTGCTTCGTTTCCGCACTCCCTTTTTGCGGCTCCGTAGACTTTCCCTGCTCGCGCCAGTAAACGCCACCCACACGTTTATTGACCACTACCTGCGGTTTGATTATAAGTGCGCATTCCTCGCCATGCAACGCTATAGAGGATCGCTGAGTTCGAATTCGGTGCAAGGATTTTTGGAAGCGATACATAGATTATTGACAGTTATTGTAGATTGTGGAACTTTGGAGGATAGATATTTAAAAGTTTCGTAGCCTGTTTCGGTCCCGTACTCCTTTTATGCGCCTTCGTAGACTTCCTCTCCGCTCGCGCCAGTGAACGCCACCCAAACGTTTACTGACCATTACCTACGGTTTGATTAGAAGCGCATATTCGTCGCCATGCAACGCTATAGAGGATCTCTCCGTATTCGAATTCGGTGCAAGGATTTTTGGAAGCGATACACAGATCATTGACAGTTACTATAGATTATGGAATTTTGGAGGAGAGATACACAGACCTTTCGTAGTCTGCTTCGTTTCCGCACTCCTTTTTTGCGGCTCCGTAGACTTTCATCCTGCTCGCGCCAGCAAACGCCACCCAAAAGTTTACTGACCACTACCTGCCGTTTGATTATAAGCGCGCATTCCTCGCCATGCAGCTCTATAGAGGACCGCTCCGTTCGAATTCGGTGCAAGGATTTTTGGAAGAGACACATAGATTATTGATAGTTATTACAGATTATGCAGCTTTGGAGGAGAGACGAATAGATCCTTCGTAGTCCGCTTCGGTTCCGTA